TTCCTTCCTTTCTTATTTGAGTCTTCTTGTACAAAATGACTAATAAAATAAAACGTTTTACATAATTGTACATGATTACTTACCATCTCAGGGAAGGGACAGGGGAGGGAGGGATAAAATTTGGAACTCAAAACTTAAAAGAAATGTCAAAAATTATTTTAACATATAATTGGGGGGAATAAATTATTATTAAAAAAAAAAACAATTGTGCCAGAGGCACAATTCTGTTCTTTAGTATTTCAGTAGTACCCCCAACTGCACCACACAGGTTATCTATCTTTTATACCTCAATCTTGCTATATTGATCAATCTTACCACTGAGTGATCTTTTCCCCCTAGTCATTCATGTCCTTCATACATGATTTTTTTAACCAGTTCTTGAATGCTACATCATCATCATTATCATCATCATCATCACAGTAACTACTTATACATCTCCTTAAAGTTTTCTAAATATTTTAAACACAGGCCACTTTTGGAGAGTTATGCTTCTTTCTGCACACCACATTTTCAGGAGGACTTTCATTGATAAGAACTTTCACAAACTGTCAAGCCTGTCAAGAGGACAACAAGATGACAAGAGGACTAGAAAAAAATGCCACATGAAGATATGTTGAAGGAAATCCAGATATTTGGCCTGGAGAAGAGAAAACATTATGGGGGATGTGATAGTTGTCTTTAATGAAGTATGTGAGTAGAAGAAGAAGAAATTTAGACATATTCTTCTTGGTCTAGAACAGGTTGGGAACTGAGGGTAGATTTTACAGAGGTGGATGTGGGCTTGATACTAGTAAAAAACAGTAACAAAAACTTACTGACAATTAGGTATGTCCAAAAGTGGAATCAGTGTTTTGGGAGCTGGTGAGTTTTCATTACTGGAGCTCACATATAGGCTGGATGACAATCTTTTGTTTGGAATGCTAGAGAGAAAATTTCTGTTCCAGTATTAGATGACCTTATGGATCACTTTTCATTCTGAGCCTCTGTGACTTTAGATACCTTACAGAGCACATTTTAGCTTCATTTTATAGATAGAGAAACTAAGACTTAGGGAGATGTGGTGACTTGCCCAAGATTATAGGTTGTATACATATTCCTCATCTGTGCTTTTGCAATCAACAAACCATTAAACAGAATTTATTGTTGAAATTGTCTTCTTTCTTCCAGGTCCTACACAGATGCATCTACGTGCCTACTTTCTTTAATCTGCTATTGACAGTGATTTCTCTCTCCTCAAATTTGTCATGCCACTTTAGACCCCTCCTTTGCCCTTCCTTAACACACTTGGTTTTGTATCAGTTTTATCTATGCCTGTGTCATCCCATTAAATGATAAGTTATCTGAGGGCAAAAAAAGTTTTGTTATTTATCTTTGTATCCTTAGTGCCAGCACTGTGCTTTGTACCTAGTAAGCACTTAATAAATGCTTGCTGCATTAAAGAGATTTTGTCTCTCTCTGAATTCTAATCTTCCCACTATACCACCTCCCACCAATTAAAGAGCTTCTATTGCATAATAGTGTTTTAGCCTTGGTTAGTCTAACTTCAACTTCTCAGAAGCATAGAAGGACCTTAAAGTCATTGAGAAAATGACAACTACCCAAAGCCAATTCCTGATTTCCCAATTTCCAGGTTTTTGTTTCCTAAAATAATGAATATTTTGCTGTTGTCCCAGGATTGGGCACTAGAGGGAGGCACGGTCTAAGAAATACTACCCTTTGGTCTGGGTGGGATCTGGTTCCTAAGGCACAACATTTGAAAATTTAGATCAGATAAGACACGAGGTCCCTGCCCTCAAGAACCTTGTACTCTAGAAGGGGGATAAAACACATAGATGATATAAATTCCATTTTAAATGATAAGTAGTCCTCTCAATACTCATTCATTCTCGAAATAGACTTTTAAGTGCCTATTATGTGGGGAGAGCAGTGCTAGCCCCAGTGTGGCTAAGACAGCATAAAGGTGTGCAATAAGGAACATTCTAAACACGACTTACATATTCCGTTTAAGTCATGGGGAGTGGGGCTGAGGATCTCACTCTCTCCATCTCTTATCTTATAAGTATCTCTTACACTGTATCTCATTTTCTCCAGTCCTTATACTGCAGCTCTTCAGCCACCAGTGAAATATATGACTCAAGAATGGGCCAAGAACAGAGCTGCAGTCGTGGACTACAGGTTGCAGCAGGAGAAGAGGAGGAACAAATAGGAAGGTAAAGAACAATCCAGGCAGGTTTCGACATCGTTGCTGCCCTTCATCAATAACTCTTCTCTTCTGCCATCTCACACAGAAGAGCAGTCCCTTTTCTCTCTCCTCTCTCATCTCTGGTTGTTTCAGCCTATTCAAATGGATCACAGAGAGTGGAGAGGTCACTGAGTTTGGAGGCAAAAGACTTGTTTCCTCTCCTCAGTTTTGTGCTATGTGACTTTGGCCACTCCGGCCATTTGTAAACTTGTTAAACAGGGTTAAATTATCTTCCTTACCTACTTCATAGGGTCATTATGAAGATCAAATGAGACACTGTGACTGAAAACTCTCTGTAAACTAGGGGGCTCTATACAAATATAAAGTGGCTTGATTCCTGTTGGCATGCTGGAAGGAGCACCAGCCTTGGAATGAGAAAGGCCTGGGTTCCAATTGTGCTTCTGATGACACAAACCAGCTGGGTGACCACAAGTAAGTCATGTATGTAGCCTGACAATTCTCACAGTGCTCACAGACAATTCTCTAAGAATTATTTAATTCTCTCCATTTTTCACCCACAGCTCTGCTTAGTTTCAGCTCCATGGAACATCCTGCCCCGGCTCCAAGTGCTCCCCTAGCAACCCCCTTTTCAGCTTTCTTTTGTGTGTTGTCTTCCTCTATTAGACTGTATGCTCCTTGAGGGCAGGGACTGTTTTTCTTTTTCTTATTTGTATTAGCGCTTAGCACAGTACCTGGCACATAGTAGGTATAAATGTTTAATGAACTGTATTAAACAGAATCGAAGACTCTAAGTTATAGATGAATTGTTATTCTGCAGTAGTGGTAGAAGTTTTTCACACATGGATAAAATCACAAGTCTAGACCTCCTCTCCACATCCCACAAAAAAAAATTTAAAAAAATGAATACTATTATTATTACTAGGTTTTCTCTGGCTAGTCTTTTTTTTTTCCTACTTTTTGGTGAGGCAATCAGGGTTAAGTGACTGGCCCAGGGTCACACAGCTAGTAAGTGTCAAGTGTCTGAGGCCAGATTGGAACTTAAGTTCTCCTGACTCCAAGGCCAGAGCTCTAGCTACTGCACCACCTAGCTGCCCCCCTAGCTAGTCTTATGTACCTGCCTCTTTCTGATCTGTCCTGCCTAAGTGCTTTTTGGGTCTCTGTTTCCTCACAGAGTAACCTATATATTTTAGGTCAGCAAATGCTTGCTGATGATGATAATGATGATGCTTCATATTAACTGGGTCAAGAAAGGGGATTTTTTTTTTTAGATTATCTGTGCTAACTGATCATCCCTTTTCCCTAAGTACACAGTAGTGTTAAGTCTTTGACTACTTTTTATCACAAAAATCTTAACAATCTACAAATAATGTATAAATTCCTATTTATGGAAGGGGGCGTTAAGGCAGAAAATGGTTTAGTAGTTTGCTGAAGATTGCAGGATATAGCGTTAGGGAGCCTGGAATAGAATGAAGTCAAGTCCCCTGGTACTTGTTCTAGTAAATCAAGAACAATGAATATATCCACATCTTTCCTCAGACGCTGCTCACATCTTTTTTCTTATAAATGAATCAAGTGAAAAGCCTGTTGTTTCTCCCTCTATGATTAAAAAAACAACTCTGCCTTTCTTTCCTAACTTGCCTTTTCTGACTAGTGCTAAATCACTAGTCATTGGTGTCACCCTGTCTTGTCTTAAATAGTCCAACCTCTTTTCTGATCTCTTTCCTTCTCCTTCCCGCTCATTAAGAAAAATCACTACCAGAATTAGTGCAATGATAGCCTTGCCTCTTTCCGCCTTCTTTGGTCCAAATTTCTCAACTCCATCTGCCCTGCTTCTCCTTGAATCACTTCTCATCTCTGCCTCCTTCTCCTTCCCCATCCTTTGCCTTTGCCTGTCTCCTGGATGCACTTTAGCTTCCCTGCTCACTATGCATGGAAGAATTATGAACTAGGCAGGTAAGGCCTCTCTTAAGTGCTTGAAGAGCCCCAGGAATTTCAGACATATTTTACAACTTGCATCAGATTTTGCCTCAGGTTTTCTCAAAAACTGGCTCCCTCCACCCTTCTTTGGTCTTCCACATTTCACCCTCTGCCTAAAATAGAGAAACACTTAATGTAGTGCCCTAAGTCTACTGTTTCACTTTCAAATTCCATCATGGAATTTCCTTTGCCTACAAATTTTTTTTTCTCTATTTCTCCATTTTTCTCCATTTCTGCAAGTCTATGGGACTTCCTCCAGTGAAGAAACCTAAAGAAGAAGGAAGGGAATATTGAAGGTCAGAGAAGAGTAAAGGAAATGACTCTCTCATTCTTCCTGCTAGAGCTATGGTTTTGGGGAAAGTGTGGTAGAGATGATGGCATTTAAAAGAACAAGGCAGAGAAATCAATTCAAACTAATCTTCAAGTAAGTAGGTAGAATTAGGGGCAGAGCTATGGTTGAGTGAATGCAAGTGTTCTGGGGCAAGAGGGGTATTGAAGTGATAGGTGTTTCTTTGCAGCAGGAAAATGGGGACAGTATATGGGTATATGTTGGCCTGTCCCCATGCTCAAATGTGTCTGGGGGTGGGTGGGTGATGCATGGGGATATGTGAATGTGCCTAAGTATGTTAGAGTTTGATTGTTTGGGAGTATTTGTTTGAGTGAATGTTAAATGTTTAGTTGTACTACTTCTGCCCAAGGGACTGAATGGGTATTTTCAGAGGTGCTGTTGTCAGTCTTCAGTCCTCTGCCCTTTCCTCTATATAATCTTGTCTTTCAACTATCAGTTCTGTGGAGATGTCTTCTAAGTCTCCATCTCCAGTTCTGACTTCTCACCTGCACGTCAGTACCATATTTCCAACTTGCTGATAGCACATCTCCATTTAGACAGATTAATGTTACCTCCATCTTAACATATCCCAAATTATATTCTTTTCCAGTAAGCTGGGTCCCCTCCCAAATCCAGAGTCTCTGCCAACCAGTCAGTTAATCACTCAGTAACCATTTAAATACCTACTATGTACCAGGCATTGTGTTAGGTATTGAAGATACAGACACAAAGAATGAAACATTCTCTTCTTCTTTTTAAAAAATTTTTTTTAATTTTTTGGCAATTGGGGTTAAGTGACTTGCCCAGGGTCACACAGCTAGTGTTAGGTGTGAAGCCACATTTGAACTCAGGTCCTCCTGACTTCAGGGCCGCTGCTCTATCCACTGCACCACCTAGCTGCCCCAGAATGAAACAATCTCAATCATTCTTTCTGTCCAGCCTTACACTAGAAACCTGGAATCATCTTTGACTCTTCCTTCTCCTGCATCTCCTATGTCATACCTGTTGATTCTTCTTTTAAAACATCCTTCTATTCATCTTCCATTCCCACTGCCACCACCCCAACCCAGTCTATGATCTCATCACTTCACACCAGGGCTGGAATCTCTTAGCTGCTCTCCTCCTCCTCTGATTTATGTCTTACTGACAGAATTAGGGATGAGACAAAATAAGAGAACTCTGCATAGCTACCATTTCTCCCTTTCCTCCAACCCTATGACTACCCCCATATACCACTGG